GGAACTGAGAAAAATGTTTAAGATAGAAGAATGAGATTTTTTGCGAAGACTTGCACTCTTTTTGTTATTTTTCTCAATTAGACCACTGAGGTCTTCACATCTTGAGGAACATGGTGCGATCGCATCGATTTGGAATTTTCTGTTTTAAAATCATTTTTTTTTTTTTAAGAGAATCAAGGAAACTTCTCTTTAATTCGGATGGTGAGGAAATCACAGTAGCTGGTCTTCCTCTCCTGCTTTTTATGACACGTTATGCAGGCGTCATTATGTGACACTGCAAGTAAATAATTCTCTCTCTTACTTATACAACATTTCTCCGTTGAAAGGAACGACAGAAGACTGGTATGATAAACCCAAGTCCCACCCATATCCTGGACTTATCATTAGAAAAGCCAACAACCTGAAGAAATACCCGCGCATGGCATTTGTGGCGCATTTTTACTTTCGAAGAAAGTTAAACTTACCGCAGGCTCATACGTACATCAATCAAGTACGGGATCCTGTTAGACGGCTAGTGTCTCACTATCACTATATGAGAAGCAACTTGCGGCCTGCCTATAGAATTAAAGAATTTCGCGCTTCTGGGGAACAGGGCGAATCTTTAGAGAAATGCTTCAGATTGCAACATAAAGGATGTCAAAATAACGTCATGACGAGATTTTTCTGCGGGAAACATTCCTACTGCCGCAGAGGAAATGGAAGGGCTCTTCGTAAGGCTATGGGTAACATCAAACGATATTATGCCGCGGTAGGTTTACTTGAAAATTATGACGTTTATCTTCAAATACTGAATAAGCGTCTACCGAAGTTTTTCCCGAAAATCTCCCGCAAGGATATCGGTAAATTTAAGTACAATTCTGAATATAGATTTGACGATATATCTAAAGATCTTATCAGAGACATCACCAGAGCCAACTGGGCAGATGTGAAGTTGTATCATTTTCTGAAGACACGTTTTTGGCAGCAAGCGAAGGTTTGTGGAATTACGACGAAACTAAACCAAGAACAAGTATATTAGCGGGAAGTCTTTGGTGTTGGTAAAAATCGGAAGCAATCGGAAACCGATACCAATTTTGCATCGCGCTCGGAAATAAATGACATCGCTTGTTCTTCGTTTTTTCCCCCCTGTACATAGAAAGAGCTGCTTCAAAGTAAGCCATAAACAATTGGAACATATTTTTGTATTAACACTAGATTTTTTGAAAACAGCCGAGACTGGATAGCGTCTTACTAAATTGGATGAGTTATCCAATGAACGTAAAGGAGTATTGTAAAAAGGGAAAATAAAAAGTTACTTGTACCATGGCTAACTACGAAAAATCAAGGACATACACCCCACACAAGTGTTTTAATTCTCCTAACAATCACATAGGCTACGAAGATAAAGTAAATAATTTTGCGGAAAAAACATTCTGCCCTCAATCTGTATCTACAGTTTAGTGTTTCTTAAGCACATTTTCTTTTCCAAATGGCGTGAAAAACAAAGTCACGTGGTCATTCTCGCCGTTTACGTTTTACGTAAACGCGGTGCTAAATCTGTCTATTATCAACTCAATCGATAGTACAGACAAATCGTCCGGGCGAGGGTACTCCTGGGAAGACAGAAGTCACCATTAAAGTCAAGTGAGGAGTTGTTGTCAGTCCTCAGTTTTAAGTCCGGTTCGTGCAAACAGATTGGCTAGTGAAGCCGTAATGTCGTTGACTATAGGGCTAAGGTGTGTAAGTCTGTCTTGATTGGTCAGTTCCGATTAGTCGGTAATGTTAGGTCATTCTGTTCTGTTTCTGTCACCCTGGAAACCATCTCTCCAGGCTCTACTCGGTTGCCTTCCCGGTGTTGACCGTACAACTGGTAGACCCTGGAGACAAGATTGAAAACGAACTGGTACTCACTGGTCTCATCCACGATAACACCTGGGTACGTGTTTGTAATGTGCGACCATCAAGTGACCAAAAATCTTTCCCACAATAATCGCATGTCCATCTTGTTTTATTCTGTATCTTGTCCACAATCTACCTCACGAGTAAATATGAAACATTAACGATTTATGTTCAAATTACATCTTACCAAGAAAAATGTAGCTTTTAAATAGTCGGTAACGAAACATTTGCCAAAGTTAACCGAAACGTAATGTCTCTAACATCAGTGTATTTTATGTATTTTAAGTTGTTGAACCACTGATAAGACAACAAGTAATGCACATGCTATTAAACATTTCACCCTTGGATTAATCATTTAACTTCCAGTATCACACATTATCTGCCAACCAGGTTATGAGTGTCAACACACTGAACAGGTCGAGAGTGTTATCTTGAAGGAAGACAAAATTATCAGGTAGAGGATTTTAGTTTGATCTCACTCGGAGAGTACATGCATAACGTGCTAACCAACCGTATGGGATATATCTTTTTGATCACCAATCTAATAATAGCCCTGTACAGTCAGCGAGCTTTAATTTAGAGTTCCTTGAAAATCATTCTGTAGGGGGGGGGGTGGAGGAGTTATCTAAATCTTTTGTAAATAAAGCAGCTTGAAATAGGAGAAGAACTCTATCAGAAGTACAATAATATTTATCTGTCTTCTTTCTGAAGTTTAAGTTAAATGGGGTAAATAAGGGGGGGGGGGGACTACCCATTGCAAACACAAGGCTATCGCACTTTGTTAACCAAACAGATCTTGCAAGTCATTGCTGTTGTTCATAGGGGTTTGATTCCTTGGGGTCTGGCACTGATACTGCTGGTTCCCCATTCCACCCATCATCGATTGCTGTTGCATCGGAAACATCCCGGACGAGGACGTCATCATACCTCCGCCATACTGTTGTGGTGTCATAGGTCTTACTCCTCTTACACCTAAAACACAGGAACACACGCTTTAAGAAAGGAGAAGCGATGTGTACACTGATTCTTTAAGATTGTTTCATTTTCTCTTGTAGTTGATGGGTCACGCAGAAAGGCAGCTACTGCGTGACGGTCACACAACAGCTACAAAAACAAATGATCATAAAAGTTTGTCATAATGAATTAAACTTTGTCGTGAAAGGGACAATTAAAGTTTTGCTTTCTTTTAGAACAAGTCGATCAAAAATTTTTGAAGACAAATTTCATGTAGATATAATTCAAAATCCACCAAAAAGCGTTTTTCGGTCGATTTGAAAGGGAGAAAGACTGTCAGACAAAAAGGGACAGATCGACAGTCAGTTCAAAATCCACCAAAAAGCGTTTTTCGGCCGATTTGAAAGGGAGAAAGACAGTCAGACAAAAAGGGACAGATCGACAGTCAGAGTTTAAGTTGACAGGCAAAGTGTCACAGTAGTTAAATAGCAAGCGATAAAAAAAACTGTAACCAACACCATTGCCAGAGAGCGAGTGAGAAACTACTTCTATCTTCCAGTTGGGGCTAGTGGAGTTAAAACACCAACTTGCCTCCTAAGAAAAACATACCTGGATTCACAGCAGCCGGCATACCGACTTGCTGTGATTGCAAGGCGTTCATCGAGGGTTTACCCTTATTCTGTAAATGTTCTAATTCAGGAGCAAATAACGAATCCAATGCAGAAGATCCACTCGTGTTGTTTGCTTGATTTCCCGCCGCGCTTCCCGCGGAAGAATAACGTGGCGAGGAACTCGCGGGATTCATCCCGAAAGAGCCCGTCATGGACGTGTTTAGACTTGATAGTCCGGTCATACCAGAGTTCATACTAGACATTCCTGTATAACTGGCCATTCCAGAACCCATTCCGGTATTACCAGTATGAGGCCCTGACATACCGTATGAGGCTGTGGACATTCCCATTGAGGGACTGAACCCTGAGGTACCAGAAAGTTGCGACAAGGATGAAGGGGCCACAGATTGAGAGGGCCGAGAGGTAGCAGGATATGAGGAGCTTGACGTCAAGTTTTTCTTCGACGATGCAGACTACAGACGAAACAAAATGCAAAGTGTCAAAATGTCAGAGAAATTCTGAATATTTTGCAAAATTATTACGCGAGTCTAAATCTCGCTACAAATGCGACGACCAAGATTTAAGACAAAGCATCCATTTTCGTCATATAGGACGTTTTTGAAACTGCTGATCCTTTCAAAAGGCACACCGCGTGTTACACTTTAACCTTGTTAATTAGCAGTGGAGCATCCAAACGAGTTCCTTTCAGCGAGTCATTTTTTGAAGTACCATGCTCGTGACGCAAAAAATAAACGCATTTCTTTACTAAAAAGAAAAAAAAAAAAGAAACCGCAAAAATGCTGAAATTAGGTGATATTGAGTAACCAAAGGCAGAAGGGCCGGTCAAATGTACAGCTACACATGAACGTTTTCTAGAGACTACTGTTCACCTTTTGTTGTGTCGTTGGGTTTGTTGATCCATCACGGTTCTTCTTCGAAGGTTGCAGCATGGAGAACTCGTCCACGCCCTGTAGGTTTCCGCTCAGAGATGCGCCTTTTGACGAAGGAGGATTTTCCGGCAAACCAAACATTTTGTTGAACTAGAAAAGTTTATAATTCAAAGTTCAAATCTTCCTGTGATATAAAGATATTTGTTGAAGTTCTCTGGACACGTCTTTTTCCATTAATCTTAGTCGATTCACTGGAAGAAAACTGGAAACTAGGCATAAGATAACCGGAAAAAAGTACGAGAGGGTTTTGCTTACTTCGGCGGAACTAGTTGCCCCCATAGAAGTGGATGATGATGATGATGATGATGATGATGACGAAGAATCACCGCCGCCGCCGCCGCCTTTTAACTCTTTGACTTAAAGAAAAAGAAAAAAGAAAAATCATGATATGACTCAATAAACAAAAACAACTTCTTTAAATCTGCATCAAAATCAGCTAGGAATTTCAACATTTGCGCCACTGCAATCATTGTGGCGCACAAGACCTCTTGTCTGCTATTGGGAAAAAAAAAAACAGCCTTACGTGAGAAGTAATAATCGTTAAATGAACGCCAGCGGGAGTTACCCTACATTAGAGCTTGCGTGTTGGCAGCGCAGCCTTAAGGAGTTGGACTCCAGGAGACTGTTTCTTTCGAGACTCCGTAACTATACGGGGTCTTTCAAAACCCGATTATTGTTTGATGTGTGGCATTCAAGATCGAGAAATTGACCGTTTTGAAATTGAAACATTTAAAAATATCATAACACGAAACTCAATCAAGTAGTTTTTTAGCTAAGACCTGGTATATCATTACTCAAGAAAAGACTTATAAAATATCACTTCTGGCCCGCAGAGTTAAACAGAAACAGTCCCCTGACCGATGGTAGACAAAGCAGAAGAAAATAAATTGATGATGAGCTGATGAATACCTGCTTGTTCAGCCTCAGTCTTACCACCCATGAGTTTGTCTATTCTGCCCATCAAATCATCCATTTGCTTAGCTTCCTGCACCTCCTCAACGAACTTCAAAGACGATCTGATAACGCGAAAAAGGAACCACAGTTACTGAATAGAAAGAATCACCCCTGTGATGTAAAATTTGAGAGAAAGTGCAAATTGGATGTTCTTGAGGAAATTTATGGGTGGAACCTTAGAAAGAAGGAAACAAGCGAGAAGGAAACAGAGCAACTGCGAAGCCACATCGAACATGCGGCTTCGTAGCGCAGTTGGTTGTAACGCTTAACTAGTATCTAAGAAGCACAGGTTCCGATCCCGTCGAAGCCTCAATTTTTTCAGCCTTCTTTTCTGTAATTTCTTCAATAGCAGCTTACCTGAGACTCAGAGAATCGTTTGTTTTACTTATATTTCATAAGCAAAGTAACAAATAATTTCTTCCATTAAATTATGAACCAAGGAGAAATAACCAAGGCAGGGTGTGAGGATGACAGGATAGGAGAGAAAGAGGAAGTACAGCCTACAAACCTGGCACCAGCTGAAACTGGGGAAGAGAGTAGCGGGGACGGTAAGGATGTAGGCCTAAGGAGAGCAAAGGGGAGGGAAGTAGGATATAGAAGAAGAGAAGATAACATAGAAGGAAGGAAGGAAGGAAGGGGGGAAGGAAGGAAGGAAGGGAGGACGAAAGGGAGGGAAGGAAGGGAGGAAGAAACGAAGGAAGGAGGAAAGGGAGGGAAGGAGGGGAGGAAGAAACGAAGGAAGGAGGAAAGGGAGGGAAGGAGGGAGGGAAGGAAGGGAGGAAGAAACGAAGGAAGGAGGAAAGGGAGGGAAGGAGGGAGGGAAGGAAGGGAGGAAGGAGGGAAGGAAGGAACGAACGAAGGGAAGAATGAAAGGAAGAAAGGGAGAAAGGAAGGAACGAAAGTAGGGAGGAGGGAGGGAGGAGGGAGGGAGGACAAGAAGGAGCAACAAGAAATGAAGGAGCGAGGAATATTGAACAGGGGAATGGATGGGACATCTCTTACTTCGTCTGTTCTTGCATCTTGTTAAGCTGTTCCAGTTTTGTGCGGTGTTCAGTTTCAACGCGTTTCACCATTTCGTTGATGAGTTTCATGTACTGGCCAAACTAGAGGCAAAATAAAACGGAGAAGTTGACAAGACTACCAGTGGTGTGGTACACTAAGAACCAAAGTTCCCCACAGGTCTTTTTTTTTAATGGCAAGCCATAAAAAAGTAGCCAGCGAGTAACAAGGGAGTGTCTCAAGGGCACTAGCATCTTTTCCTTAACATCTTAGCAGCTAAAGGGGAGAGTTAACAATCAGATGTATGGAGTTAAAGGGCTAACAATTCTATTAACTATTCAAAGGCGGTGGAGCGTTTTGAAACGTGGGGGAGGGGAAGGGGGATGGTGTTATCTCTCACTCAGCAAAGCGCATACCCCTACTCAAATTTTCCAAAACGCCATTTGCATTGTGCAAACATCTTTGCAATCCTTACAGTTTCGAGTATGTCCGTGATCGATTTGTGACTTCCTTTAATTTTTTTCCGGCAGTCTAAAATCTTTCTACTTGGCATTCGATGGCGTTCCCACAAACAAAACTAAATCGTGTCTAATTTCCTAGACAGGCAGTCTAGTTTAATGGAGAATTTCTGCACTTGGTAAGCATCTCGAACACAGGTCGGAGGGATTTAAAAAAAAGTTTTAAAACATATTATTTCGTCAAGCGCGATGCTGTTAGGAAGATTTGTGAAAAGATCACGAGATTGAATATTTTGCCAATTTTTATGCTGCGTTGGCGATATTTTCGGCACCAAAACATGGGGGACTGCGTGCCCCCCCCGAACTTATGTTTGAGGGGGCTACGGACCCTCCTGCCCCCCCTCCCCCGCTCGGCCATCTATTCTCTTATTGGGTAGATAGGTCAACTAAGCAAATGAAAAAATTTATTTCAGCTCAAGACAGTTGTCTACTATTTTGTCTTGGTGAAGTAATTGACGCTTCAGAAAAAAATTAGCCGGTGAAAACGCTAACTAATACTTTTGAAGAACACTGATTATATGTTTACATGCGTAGAAAGGAAATGATACTGCCAAGATAGAGTCCTGTTCGATCAAATCTTCCGAATATTTCGAATTTGTCAGATATCTTCAGGGACCTGTTTCTCAAAAATTCTTGTGATTTCCCAGGCCCGAAGCCAAAATCTAAGGAATGCTAGTGTGGGTATTAGCTAAAATTAACTCCATTCTCTTTCGCTACGCGATACTTTCACCGTTTGAATTTCAAAACTATTAGAATCTAGATCTTGCATGTAAACACGGCAACCAAAAAAAGAAATTCTTTAAAAAGCGAGAACCACTTCTACTCTCCAGAAACGGACTCAACATGATGCTGACATGACTTCCTCCGCTGCAATCCACGACAGAAGAGAGTACGCAACTGACTGATTACATAACGGATGGCTGGAAAGAAAACCTGTGTCATGTGTCGTGGGTCACGCTTCCGAATTTAGACAATGAAAAGTTCCAAATGACCCGTGATTATCACTTCCAAATTTAGACTATGAAAAGTCACTGGCATGAGGATCATGTTCGGCCACTTATAAATACTAATGGAAGTCAGTTCCTTTGGGACTCTTAAACTGTGACGGAAGACGACTCGACGTGATTTTTGTTACACGGGAAAAAGCTAGTAATAATAGATAAGGAACGGACGGTAAGTTACTTAGATGCTCTGCATAATTAATGTATAATACCCATTCAAATTGTAAAATAAGTAACATTCCTTTGTCAATTTTTTTAAAAAATCTTACGTCGTTTAAGAGTTAAATACGCAATTCCCCGCTGACTTTTCAGGGAAACATTCGACAAGGAAGTTCAGCGTTAGAGAAAATCAAAGCATTTCGTAATCTGAACCCGTGTCAGACAAAAATACACACATCAAAAGTTGGCAGGCACGATTGAAAGGAACATTAATTTGAAACAACGGACTTTAGAACTAACGAATATAGGATTCAACGTCTCTGAGCCAGCACTTCATGCCAATAAGACATCTTTCTTCACAAAAGGCAAGCATGGCAAGTGAAATAGAAAACGTACGAAGAACAGACGAGCCTCCTACGAGAGCGTCCTTCAGGGAGCGTAACAAATTCATGGTGAATAACAACCTCCTGAGCGATGTCACGTTTATTGTCAAAGACAGCGATGGAGACAAGGAAATTACAGTTTACGCTCACAAATACGTTCTCGCTGTGGGCAGTCCTGTGTTTTTCACCATGTTCTACGGCGCTTTGGCGACTGAAGGAGCTCAAGAGATTCACCTTCCCGACTGCGATGCCGACAGCTTTAAGGAATTCCTCAGTTTTCTCTATTGTGACGAGGTTTGCATCTGCGAAGACACCGTAATACAGTTGTTGTACCTGGCTAAGAAGTATATGGTGCCTTCTCTACACGAAATGGCAAAAAAGAGGCTTCACAGTATGATTAATGCAACAAGTGTATTCGAAATCCTTCCTTTGATTCTCCATCTTGACGAAGACGATCTTGTTGACCAGTGCTGGAAGGTCATCGATATCGACACGGAGCAAGCAATAAATCAGGACTCCTTCTATGAGATCGAAAGAGATTTGCTGGAAAAAGTGCTAGAACGAGACGAGTTAACGATCAGAGAGGTTAACCTTTTTGGTAGGGTATTAGACTGGGCTAAGGTGCGTCAAAATCCTCCAGAGAGCGACGGTAAAGAGAGCAACATTCGTGATATTCTCGGGGAGAAAATAATTCGTCTGTTACGCTTCTCGACAATGTCCTTCAATGAATTTACTTGCCTCGTATCGACCACGGGAGTGCTTAATGAAAAAGAAGTTTCTGCAATCACACAATTCTACCAGGGGTTCTGCCAAGAGATCCCTAAGGAATTTTGCGAGAGTTTCCCCAGGGGGAAAATTTTCAGATGCAATAGATTTTCGAACGTTTCCGATACGGAGGTATTGCCACGCAAGAGAAAATGGAGTTACAAACGAGGATATGAGGACAGCATAAGATTCTCAGTCGAGGCTTCGATCGTTATATGCGGCATACGTCTGTTTGGCTTTGAACGCGCTTCGTACTACGTGGAATTGTCGATTTACCACGCGTCACGGAAGAGCAACAGTTGTCGTCATGACCGTGACGCATGTCACCTACCAAGTTTCTCTACAGCAGGTATTTTTCAAAGCGAGGAAGACAGCACTAGCGAGTATCACGGATTTGATGTCCTTGTTGATCCACCGTTTTACTTGAAACACAATACGGATCTGATAGTGCAAGTTATCATGCAAGGCCCGAAGTCCGATTTTGGTGAAGGAGGCAAGATGTCTCTCGACTGTGAAGGGGTTAGATTCCATTTTGAAAACGAACGTAGCCGTAATGGCACAACAGCGAAAATTGGTCAGTTTGCAGAGATAATATTCAAAACAGATCTGTAAAATAAAGAGCGATGTTCCTCGTTTTGTCAGGAATGCAGGAGGGCAAAAAGTCCGACCTTCCCAGGTGGAATCGGACCACAGAACTTCTGATTTCACTGTTGCTCACCATTCCCTCACATGACGGTTTAGTCGTTACAAACAAATGCTTGTCACGAGTGGATGCTCTAGTAATGATCTAACTCACAAAAGTGTCTCTATATCTCAGTAACAGAGCATGGGCGTATGAAACCCGAAGGAATTTGGTCGTGTCGCATACGGGGATTCAGGTTTATTTTTGTTCCACGCTCGTGACAAAATGAGTTACATCTTTATTCCACGACCAAGCACAAAACAATGCAGTTTCGCTATTTCCGGTCCATCGTTCATGACTTCCGATAGCTCGAAACTGTTTCGATTTTACCTGTAGGTTCGTAATTGGACTGTGTACCTATAAAATATAACTGTTTAGTGCTCTCCGTGTGGTCAGTGGACTATGAGTCTACTGGAAGGATGGGAGACAATGCTGCGTTGTAATAGATGGTAGGCAGCATATTTATTTTGAAGTATTTATAACTAACTTGACCAGTCTTTTTAATATTATCTACGTAAAAAAGGAAACAGCTCAATGCAGGAAATAATTTAATTTGTCCAAACAAATGCTAATAGTTCATTCTATCTCAGAACTTAATAAAATAGTCTTTAAAAAATATGTAACAAATATGTTTCAATCATTGCCATCCGAGTTGTATCTGACCGCGAACGAGCAAAATGTCAATAAAAATCGTACCCGTTCGAATTTCGGATAATTATAAAGATAGGTTAAGCAACTTCATGGCCGTGGTTCGCTTAAAATAGCAAGACACAAGTCAGAGACAATTCGCTTCGCTTGACATAAAGAATTATTATGAAAATTATTATCCTCTATGGCAGAATTTTCTCGTCGGAACAAGTCGCGCAAATTCAAACTGAATTTAAAATATGATCACAGTAATAAAATGCTTCGTATAGACTTGGATGTTGTACACACAAAACAGCCTGATACGCAGAGAGATTTGTGGCAGAGAGTTGTCCCTTGGTGCGTTCCAGCCTCCGTTGAAAGTTCCGCAAAAACTGTTAGAGCGCGTAGTAATCCAATCTTGCAAGAGTAGTTTTTCGAAGAGACGTCTTACACGCCAAAAATAGTAACAAGGAAGTGACAGTGTTTACGTAGAAGGAGGTGACGAATACAGGAAGTTCTGTATTCGACATAATCCTTCCTGACTACTCTAACGACAGTTTCGAAGGAGTTTCAGTTTGTAAATGGATACTGTAAGTATTCTGATCCGCGTTCTTTTCTTACAAATTTACAATACAAGGAAGAAAAAAAAGTTACAAAACAGGAATGAAGATCTCGGTGCGAAGTTCAAGAAGTCAGAGGGAAAATATACGCGCAGTTCTAGGTCAAACTAAACACTAGAATCACGGCGATACAAGGTCTTCGCCTGACTTGAGAAAATGACTTGGTTTAACAGGTTCTCTCTCTATAGGAGACTGGAAAATGCATGCAAGACAAAATCTAACATGAGGTAGATATCATACTCGTCCCAACGCAGACCACCGTCAGAGCATGCCCACGACGTAGTGTTTCACACGCACAGGGTTGGGGGGAGTGTCACATGAGCAATTCACAAAAGCCTTCACCCTTCCAACGCCACCTTAAGCCGTAAAAAAGAAAATTCTAGATGCGCGAATACCCCTGACCTAAATACACATCAACGTACCGCTCACTGAACAAATAAACAGTTGAACAGAACAGTGAGCATTGAAATGCGCTATACGGCTGTATAGCACAAGTCATTTAATCGTCAGAAGAAGACATGCAATCAATAGATCCAATATCCAGAAGGAAAAAAAGCTGAAGTACGCAGTCGAATTTCGTCACTTACGCAAGTTAAAGAAGTAAGTACATCGTGAGACAAACACTTATAATACTTCTTCGTCAAAGGGTATTGGACTGTTTGTTTTACCTGTAAGAGATTGAGTCCCGGCTCCACTGCTAAGGGGAAGAGAAACGGAATAGCTTTTGTCGCCAAGTAATCCTTGTCCATACCAAGCTTCTTATGAAGCATGGTTTGGTTGAAGATTCCTGCAAACAAAAACAAAAGCTGCACTTCAAATGACAATTCAAAAGATTGGCATATAAAACGACTTTTATCGCGCGGTTATAAGCGGACGCCCGCTTAAGACAAACGCGAAAGCGATTCACGGCTGAGGAAAGAACGCGCGACTCGTCCGATTCTTCTCACCCATACACTCCTCACCCGCTTCGCGCTTACCTCCATCCCCGTCCCGTCCCGTCCCGTCCCCCCCCAAAAAAAAGAGAAGCGCCTTAAAAGAGGAAACATTCTTGTGTATTTCCTAAAGCGACGTTCTATCCCTATCGAAGTTTCAGGATCATCTCTCTTTCAAGAAAACATGAACACATTACGCCTATTCTAATAAATCTTCACTGGCTTCCGATACATTATCGTATTGTGTTTAAAATTCTACTCATCACGTGCAAAGCTCTCAACAATCTTGCACCATCGTACATTCGTGATCTACTCACACCTTACGTTCCAGCTCGTCAACTGTGTTCATCATCTAAAAACATCCTGGTGATTCCTCATTTTAATTTGAAGACACACGACGGTGCAAGATCTTTTTCTGTAGCTGTCCCCACACTCTGGAACACTTTGCCGTCCTCAGTGTCCGTTTTTAAAAACAAACTCAAAACTTTTCTTTTTAAAAAAGCGTTTTTCTAATTTTACAATTGTGTCACTTGTTAAGCGCTTTTGAACTTTGAGGAAACTAGCGCTATATAAATACTTTAATATTATTATTATTATTATTATTATTATTATTATTATTATTATTATTATTATTATTATTATTACCCAAGATGGCCATCAGTGTGGGTGGTTCTCTGGAAGGAATCTGGTTCATCAGCGGCAGTATGTCATCCAGGACAGCGTATTTATCTAAATGCTCCAACATCTTACCCAAGCACACAAGCCCGTTCACTCGAATCTAAAAAGACAAAATCCCAATTGTAGCGTTGAAAGACATCTGGGATTGAATTAGGTTTGTTTTCTTGCCCTTTGTGCGAGTTCAAGTGAACCAGCGGCAAATTTTCCACCAATCAGATGCAAGACTTAAACCAATCGCGATTTGGTTGCCCGCGTTTCCCCCGCGCTTGGATCTAGAAAACTCGCGTCAACTTCTCAACCAATCAGAAACAAGCCTGAAACCAATCGCACCTTGGTCTCCCGCGTTTTCTCGCGGTTGGAATTAGAAAACCCGCGCCAGCTTCTCAACCAATCAGAAACAAGCCTGAAACCAATCGCGACTTGGTCAACCGCGCTTGGGGTCTAGAAAACTCGCGTCAGGCTGGACAGGCAAGGACAATAACCAAAAACAAATGCAACCTTAATGTAAGGCCAGATTCGGTAATTGAACCCGGTGCTACAGCGGTGAGACTCGGACAACCCACGACTGCGCCAATCCGGCTCCCAAACCGACATGACCTTCTCTTGTGAGGAAACGAGAGCGGTTAGTTACAAAGAAGTTTTCAGTTACTCTTCCCTTACACTCAAAGATGTAGTCTTCAGAATGAGGTTCTTGATGCGTGGAATGATGGAGTTTTTCATGGCGGAGTACTCAATCATGTTTGAAAATGAAGGAATGATGCTTAGAACCATTTCCTATAATCAGAGAAAAAGAATCTATTTAGAAAAGAGCACATCTGCGAGATAAAAGTACAAGTTTGAGCTGTACGAGAGTTTTCCTATAAAGGCCTGTATATACCGACAATAAAAGCTAGTGTGGCCATTTTCTGACAAATTAAAACATAGGTGTTATCAGCTGAAAGTACATGGGTATAGAGCGTATTTTGATTGAATGTCGAAAATAATCCAACGCTGCATTGGTTTAGCTTCACTTCGCTATGTAATTGGTCGAAAAAAATTGCGTTACTTCATTGATCAATCACACGCAAAACTAACACTAATCGCAATCGCGACTCAGCCAATAGCGTTTTCGAGCGCTTCAGGTGCGTTCTTTACCTGTAGTTGTTCTGCGGGAGCTTCAAGAGCCTTACAGACCATGGGAAGCACGTGATCTCTAACATCATCCTTGGGTGTTTTTGCCAAGAGTATGTCCATTTTCTTGAGAAATATGATGACAACCTGCAGAGGAGGCAAAGAGAGAGTTGATGTGAGTAACTTGTAAATGACATTGGCCGATAAATTTTTCTAGAAAAAGATGTTTTTTGTCTGATCACGAGCGAGGGAGGAAGACAAAGTTCTGAGTCTCAAAAGAACTTGAACCTGAAACGTTCGAGTTCCGCGCTCTGATGCTCTACCACTGAACGACAGAAACTCGCTAAGGTGAGGCAGTCAGTAAAAGGTCGATCATTTTTCTCATAACCTGTTTAGTAGATAGGAGATTCAAATGGTTACGAGAAGTTAAATGTTAATCAGCGCTGTAAAGAAAAGAACTAACCTGAACAGGCTCCTGTATCTTGAAAACAGGTTTTAACTCTGGGAGAATCAGATCTACATATTCTTGAGAGGTGCAATCTTCGGCGATCAGCAGCACATTAGGCAGAGCAAATGGAACCATCTGATGATTACTAAACTCTGAGCATAACTGTGGCAAAACTCTTTGTATAACAACACGCTGATGATAAAACACAAACAATGGAAATCAACTACAACCCTGAGCCCACAATGTGAAACCACTTTTAACACTTCAAACCCTAACACCAGTGTCCATATTCTCCATACTGTTCTCTATACATTTCCTCAGGTGCTGACAAGGAGAATTTGCTTAACAATCAAGAGTGTCTTTAGTTGGGGATCATTTCCTTTATTCGTGTGGCCTTACTGTGTGATTCAGCGGCATTACTGAAAGGAGCAAGTGGATGCACGTCAGCTAGTCACTCCCCCTTATGGCTAAAGGGTTAAAGAGCACAGACAGGGGATTGGGACCCAGAGAAACCAAGAACAAAACCAATCAGTGGCTGGGTGGGAGACTCAAACTTGAAACGACCAGATCACAAGTCCAGCAAAGTGCTTCCTAAAACTCCGCATGCTTTGAACGCAAGGTGGAATTTGGTGGATTTACCATCAGTCCAAAATACCTGGTAGGCTGTTCATAACACCACAAGAACAAAACAAAACAAAACAAAAAAAAAAAACAAGGAAAGATTAGGAATTTAGTAATGAATTTACCTTTGGTAGCTTTGACATGACTTTATAAAGTCCCCTGAAGAACTGTGACTTTGCCATGTCGTCACGCTGCACTAAAGAGTCTAGGTACTGTAATGTCATAGCTGCAACATTTTCGAAGAATGAAATCTGACAGGTACATAGAAAAGAAAACGGTTAAAATTCAGCTCTGATTATCAGTATCATATATAACCCTTTCGCTATCAGTATTCCATTAGTAATTCTCCTTTCTATAAATCTGCCATGCAGTTGATGTTAGTTTGGAAAATTTGGTTTTGGATTAACATATGATCTCCTAGTTGATTCTTTTGTAACTCTCATCACTTGCCTGCTTGGTACTGTATTGATACTGTAAGGAGAAATTCTGTCTTAGTCACACATGGGAGTGAAATGGTTAAAAGTGATACTCCAAAAGCCAGAACCAGATGATAATTTGAGAACATAGAAGATGAACGATAGATGAACGATTGATCGAGTAAATTCATCGTGTCTTTAAATTTGACAACAAATGAACAGAAAACCAAGATGTTAAGTGACAGTTATAGTTTATACCGAAATACATAACTGTCACTTAACACCTTGGTTTTATGTTAATTTGTTGTCAAATTTAAAGACACGATGAATTTACTCGATCTATCGTTCATCTTTTAAAAGTGATACCATCCTTCACATCTCGACTCCCAAGGTCAATTGTTAATTCTTTCTTTTCACTGCTACACATTTGCCTGTACATTAGTTAAAACACGAACTTGGTTTTTAGATCGAGATAACTTCTACCTGATAAGATGGAGTATTCTCATTACCTATTTGTTGAATAATGTATCAGGGGCGCAGCCAGGATTTTTTAAAGGGGGGGGGGGGTCACAGAGGCTACTCACCAGATTGTCATGTCGACCTCCACGCCGTGCATGGTTTACTTATTGTTACAGTTTTGGGATGAGCAGTGAGAGTATAGTGGGCAGGCTAAGATATTGTCATAGCGTTTTCACCACCCGAATATTGTAGGTTGTTTGCTCAAAAGAAGGCCTACCAACAGGGGGTCACGGGCACCCCAGGCCCCCCCTGGCTACGCCCTTGTATATGGATATTATAAGGAGAAGTTACAAGTTAATCACTTCTGGGAGTTAAAGGGCTAAATATCCTGCTGATCTCCAGATAGCATACACAACATAGAATGTACATCACAGTCTAGATTTTATAAAAAAGAAAAAAAAAAAAAAAAAAGGCAGCTCACATGACTGGCTGGAATAGACGCTAATCTAAATTTTCTTAAACCATGCCACAATGCAAAATGTGGTTTAAAATGTGCAACATCTATCTTTCTCATTCAACAAATTGTTAGTCAATCATAGTCAGTCATTTGATCATCTGGTGTGATCTTCCAGTTGAGGGTTACTGTCCTAAAAGAAATTGTTATCCGTGCAACTGCTTGATGCTTGAACAACCTGAGGTTGAGGTTATCAGAGTCGAGTGAGATGACCTTTATTAGCTGTGTGTTAAAAGCCTTGTTTGTGAGAACAGGTAACATTACTGTAGTGGAAATCCACAAACCAAGATATTCGCACTTTTACTAGCGATTCGCTTAAGGCAAATGTACATAAACGAGCTAAATATACAGAACAGGAAAGCAAAACGAAATACAAATTAAATAAAACAGGCAAAACGACGGACAAATTAACGAAACTTACAAGATTATGCGGCGACTACGACGACTAAAACATAATGACAACGGCGACAAGAAAACTACGGTAGAAGAAGCTATGCCAAACAATAGAAACAATGCATAAAAAATGAACACGAAAATATGAAATGTGACGTGACCAAAAATGACTGGCGAACCTGATAAAATAACAAATATACACGGAACGACTGAAAATGGAAAAACAATGTACAAAAGGCGTGAAGGCAAAACGAAGGTGAGGCGCCGTGACTATAATTACATACATGTAACCATTGAGTAACTGCTTTTAACTCAGGAGTAACATTTAACCATGTTGTCTGATCGTCATGGTGGTGTTGTTCTGAGAAGGAATGTTGTTGGTAGTAGTGACTTACGTTTTGACAATCTTGGTAGAAGTCACCATCAACTCACCGTGACAAAATTTGCAGGTTAATGCAACATTCTCATTTCTTTATTAGCATTGTATTTGTAACATACCTTACACATCATGTGAACATCTGGGCGGACTGTACCAGTGATGCTCAGTAAACTTCTAACATGCTCTTGTAACTCTTTCGGAACAGAACCAAGAGGTGTGGAGTTGTTCCTTGACATCTACAACGAAGCACATTTCACAATAATGACTTATTTCCCATACTGCTTTTACTTGTAAACGGTTATTCCACAAAAGTTTTGTGAACGTAAGCCTCTTAATTTTGACAAAAAAATTGGCTCAAAATACCAGGTATAAGACTCATCCAGCCATAATTGTATCAATAACAAAACGCTCAAATTTGAGTTGTTCTTAACAGCCCTAATCCGTGGCTTAATTGATTGTTTCAAGTCCAGACTGTTTGATTCCATCTTTCACAGTGTAGGTAACCTAATTTTACAGTTAAATACATTTCATACAAGAACCTAATGGCGAGCGGTGTGCGCACTCCGATTGCATTGCACTGTGGTAGCGTTACTTTCAATATGGCGGTAAAAGCGGCAGATCAATTTTGACTGAACATTCCGTAAAAGTCAGGCCGTTTCTTTTTCCTTTCACTATAGGTAAATATAGTTTGATATATGTAGAAGTATTTCTTGTAAGTGTTTGTCGCGCATTCTATCGTTCTCAAGGACAAACACAAGCACTGTTCTTTTAGCATGTAATTTGAGACCGGTTTTCGAGAAGGTCAAATTCGTTGTACGTCGTAGTTTGAAGCCTTTCAAAGATGTGTATGGTCACTTTAATCCTTCTCCAAAAGCTCTGACCAAACGCTCTCAAACGCGCTTCAACGGTAAAAATGTTTTAAGTATTTTAGGTGATAGTGTTCGAGACCTGTTTTGGCAGTGAAAAGGCCCATCGTTGCGTTTAGTGTGTTGCGTTACATAGCGTTAATACTGCAAGAACATTTACTATATGTACTCACTCGTGTTGTAATTCTACTTTCTTAAGTGAAGGCAAATTAACTAATCGCGAGTGTTGTGTGGTAAAGCTTCTATCTTGATCACCGAATGAAGGATGGTTTAATTAGAACAAGGAAAAGAGTCGCTTGATCCACGACGACACGCCGGTAAGCCGGAAAGCAAAAGGCACTCGACCGTTGAAAGGCGTTGATAGGCCTGTGCTTCTCCTTGCATTCGCTAGCCCTTTTAAGAGTCACTGTCAGTAAAAATCAGATATGATCATCAAAATCGCGGACACAGCCAAGAATCGATTTCGCTCATACTTTCTATATTAATAGACCCTTGTATCAAAGTAACCAAAACAGGGTTAGTTTTTTCTAATCTTTATTTTTTTAAGAGTAATTAAATAAAAACGGTCGAGTGCGGATCGAGCCAAATCTCGATATTCGAAATATCGAAATTCTGTCATATTTATGGCTTGCTAGCGTAAGTCGAAAATGATCTGTGAATTTTCCTTTGCACTAACATCATAGTTAGGGCCTTGAACAATTCATTGATGGCATGAAAAGCAGATATGTTCTCATTATAAATATTTTATAAATTTTTTTCTCGATGACACCCTGCGGCTGTTTTTCAACAGCTCTATGGTACCCTAAAACAACTGCCAAAAACGCTTGCTGGTACGCGAAGAACCCATTAACTATATTGCAGATACAGTTTAAGGATAGCCGTTCTCAAATATACTTTTAATTTTTTGGGATAATTTTTGGTTTTGCAGTAACCCTTGTTTGAAGTATGCTTATTTTCGAGATTTGCTGCAGCCGCCATATTGAAGTTTCAACCAACTTGACCATCTAGAAACAATTGATCGCATGTCGAAAAGTACATTATAAGTTAAAATCTGGTAAGCTAACTTAAGATAAGACTTAGTTTCTGTTTCTTATCTAGAAAATTAATTAAATTGGTGGTAGACTCCGGCAGATTTTTGCTTGTTGTCAGTTTGTTTACACAAGATATTTGGTGACTACTGTGCCAAAAAGGTGCGTTTTGTTGATACCTTCGGTTTTGGTTGCAAATCTTCTTTCTGGGCATTTCAGTTATTAGTTTTACTTTTCAGAATGTACAATCTACGAAAACTCCGGCTTTTCCATGACAAACACTGATCAAATAATAATTAATTTAAACTATGTAGCGTGTTAAACAACCTGTGTCTATAATGTATCCGTCGGCAGACTGTCGGCGCGCATGTCTGACGACAGAGCTACCGATATTTAATTGAACATTATAATAGTTATAGTAGTTGGGGATTTCTTCCGTATCACATATTTTATATATAAATCGGGTTAGAAGGGACGGTTAATTAACGATGAATTGTGCATCATCGTAGTTATAGTAGTTGGAGATTTCTAATTGCGCATTTTCGGGTTGGAAGGGGTGGGTCATAAATCATAAATTGTAAAGATTACGATTTTCATTCTGTTGTTACATGTTATAACATATTTTTTAGTATTAAGCACGTGCACGTTCTTACGAGTTTTGTCGAAAGCTCTTTTGTGTTCAACGTGAATAAATAAACTTGCATACTTACTTCCTTACGCTTTTCCAAAGATCAGTATCACTAGCATGAGGAAGTTCGCTGATTTAAACCTTAATAGTATTTTAAAAAGCAGGATATGTCCAAGTTTTATTCATTTAGTTATGTGTGCAAGGTTTATCTGAACGAACGAGTAATCGTACGTATCCTACGTATCCTACTCCAGTAACAGTTCTTTTCGTCTGCTTGCGTGACACTGTGAAGTGTGAATTCTGGAGCTCTCAATTTCACATGATTTTCTCTGAGAACTTTTCTGAAAATTGTCTCATAACATCGCGTCATTAAAACAATAAACCTTTCTGAAGCAGAGCTTGTACGTTTTCATTGATAGTCGGGAGAATGTGGACCTGATCCAAGATGGGAAAAATCAATCTCGTCAGGGACTCCCCCTCGTATCTTGCAACAGGAATATTACATGCCATGAAAAAACAGTTGAAGATTATTGGATGTGACACGGAAATTGAGCTTATTTTAGCAAGGAGCACTCTCTGATGTTTTCGTAGTACCACGCTTTGCCTGTTCAAGCGTCAGCAGTGTTACAAACATTCCCAGACACTGTAGAACAAATGATGGCCATGTTCTTGTCATGGCAAGGGTTATTGTAACAACCTTTTATGAAATTCCAAAGGAACAAATAAGCGAGGTTCTGAAAAAACTATTTGCGCGCGTGCAAAAAAAAATTAAGGCGATCTGCTAAATAATACTTCCATAATATCTCTTCCTTATTTTCTGATGAAGAGTCGCTTTAATTTTGTTGATGAAAAAGTCTGCGTGAGAATCTAATCTATCTCACACTAAGGGTGTTTTCAGGTTACCATGTTGCATGGTAATTTACTGTCACAGAAAACGACCACCAAGCAGTGAATATCGTTTACACCATAATCTACGTTAATGTCAACTGATAAAAAGGACAGCAGTATTGAAACTTATTTAAACAGAGTTCAAACTTTAGGTACTGGAAATTGCTGGAAACCAGTGCAAGCTATGGCGCTTGATGAGAAGAGTCTATTTATTCACATTTCTGTTTGTTTTTATCAAATTTTGTACCCAAAGGGGCCAGCCATTACCCCCACGCGGGATGGTTGAACGGTTTGGACAGAGTTTTGCACCCGGCCGTGTCCACTTTCACCCTGTTCGGATCTTGTAGATGGGAAGTTGGAACACGGATGAAGTGTATTTCACCTGCGAGAACACGGAAAATCGTCATTCGTGCAAAATACGATGCTTAGCAGTCAATTCTTTTTTATTCCATTTGCTTTTTTATATAGAACCAAAACGAATTTGGCTGGTTTATATAAGCTATTCAAAAGTTATTAGTTTAAGCATATCTGGCAGTTGAATATTATTCAAACGCTAATAGTATCAAGCAATATAATTCTCCCTACACGAGCTATAATTTATTTCCAGTTTATAACCTTACGTGACCTCACTAATGTCAGATCAGGAGCCACGCCACCAAGAATGTTCGAAAAATGGAAAAGACACGGTAAAACTGACGTTAAAGTGTGGGCTTTTATGGTACACTGTCAAAGTAAGAAAATAAATGGGTTTACATGGAAAGGAAGTTGCTTTATGGTGATTTATTTTTGTTCAAATTCAAACTGCCAAAAATCCCAACTACGTCAGTGTCCACGTCTATGATTAATTGGCAATATGTTGCTCATTACGTGATATTCTTGTTGCTTGTCGAGAGATAGGTAGCCTACCTGAGCAGGTCAAGCAAAAAGCAAATCTTTGGGACTATAACATTCAACTTTAGAATGTCACTACGTTTAAAAAAAATTTGGGTTCATTCTTTGCACGCAGTTAATATGTGGGTCTTTTTAAAATTACTTCTCCCAACATTAAAAAGAGTGCAGTCACGGCTTCGGTAACGCCCGTTATTCAATTGCGTGACAGATCAGTCAAGTGATCGAACCGCGTTGAACGGTCCTCGATTGTTGCAATGTATCAGGTGTTTTTATTTCTACCAGCGCAACACCCAAAAGTGTTCTGATAAGAAACGTCACCAACACGAAGCCGACTTACTTAGCAAAGGTCGCTTGTGAAAAGGAGAAAGCAGAATTTAGCACGAAACAAACTAACATGTCATGACGAGCCAAACACTTTTAAGAAGACGAGGTCAAGAGGTGAGTCAGCAGATTTTGTAAACGTTTCTCGACCCATTTCAGTTAAGTGTACCTCTACATTTTGCTCTGGTGCATATCTAACTTATTCCATTGATTTTGCTTCGCTTAACAATTTAGAGGAGCTTCACATTGGAAACTTTTAACTGCAAACATGTGAAGTGTTAATTATTTCAAAATGGCGGATATTGAAAATTGGCTTACTTCAGGAATGTCTTGTTGTACAGATACAAAAGATCCCAGGGAAATAAAACGGTAGAAAGTTGAAGCTATCCTTGAACATAGCTCAGGAGATTTCCTGGTCGATTTTATTGCATACCGCGGGCATTTTTGGCACGTTTGTTTGAAGTACCAACGAATCTATTTCAGAGCAGCTGTAGGTGCACTTGAAAAAAAAAAAATTTTATTTTTAAGGAAAGGTTATGAGTTGGTTGCGCTACCAATCAACTGCAGAAGCATCAGACGAATAGGATTAGCGTGAAACTAATTTAAAACTTACAATGAACTGACTCGACAGCGCCACGAATTATGACAATTTCAAAGGTTTTGTTCAAGAAAATATTGTGAACCGTTTCAAGTAGATTTCTCCTATACAAGCGAGAATTTTAACAAACGGACATTGCTGTCATATGTATGGGACTAAAGCCTACCAATGAACAAAGTATGAACGAAATTGAATTTTGAGCTGTGTCCGCGATTTCTTTGATTTTTGCTGACATTTACTCTTAAATCTTCTACCCTCAAAGTTTAGCTCTTATAAGGATATCTCTTGATGACTTTCCTTTGCGATGTGATAATAAGGGTCAGTTTAAAGGTGTCATTTCCCCATCTGTATGTTGTTCAGGTTTGGCAAAGCCGGATGAGATTCTATGGAACGCCATAACTGTCTTATGATATTTTGTTTTCTTATCCGTGGTGCTTTTCTTATCATGTTGCAAATGCACCGAATATAATGCTGTATGAACAGAATCGCTGAGCACCGAGTAGCAAGTTGTTTGCACCGAGTAGCAAGATGTTCGCACCAAACCAGATACTAAACTGACCACAAATCAGGTGCAAACTGATTACTTAAAAAGCACAGAGCATGGCAAATTATTCACCGAATATAAAGAAAGCTGCACCACTAAAATTGATCCAAGCACCGAGTATAAAGCGGTTAGCAGTGATTATAAGGGCTTTCACACCAGGTATAATGTGGAAATTACCGAGTGCCTTGGATAAAGAGCCGAGTATAAGGTGATTGGCACCGATTATAGCAACCAGACCACCGAATATCATAATACAAGCACCGAAAATGATAAGAAAAGCACCACGGATAAGAAAACAAAATATCATAAGACAGTTATGGCGTTCCATAGTATGGCGTTCCATAAGATTGTGTTACAAAGGAAATATTTTCTTCTGTACGCGCGCTGTTTTCTTTGTTTTAAAGTATACTTTCTCTCTCGCAGAAATAACTCCAGAGATACGTTTCTCAAAACCCTCATCTAGGTTTCCTCTATTCTCGAAGCACATTTTGAAACTGTACGTTTTTACTAAACGTGGAGCGAGACAAATTCGTCCTAAGGAGGCGTGGGGCATCTCCTTTTACAAATCCCGTATTTACGCTTAGTGGAAAAAGTTCGTGTATAATAGGAGCTCTGTCTCTTTAATATGCGTTTGCGTTTCAAAGGTCAATTCCCTGTCAAATAACTTGCATCTAGGAAAATAGTTTCTGACTTTGATATCATTCATCCCGCCATCGGCTGAGTGTAACTGTTCCCATTTCTGTCTTAGGCAGATTGCAGTTTCGAATCTTTCTGAATAACGTCGGTTGCCTCCTGAGAACGAATTCGTCACGGAGGAATGACAGTCGCGCAGGTCTGTCAAACTTTCGAAGGAAAGGCAACAGACAGTGAATCCCCATTACAATCCACGTATATTCCGGCACGCCACCTCGCTGCTACCATAGTTAATTGTTCGCTCTATTAACTAGGCTGCCACCAAAGAATTTTACTCAAACGCGTCAAGATGCAAACGACTCACTTTTTATAGATACAAACTCATCGAATGAAGCCTTACACTGTAAAAAGTAAAACATTTTACTTTTTACTGCATTGTAAGGGTTTATTCGATTAGTTTGTATACATTTCAACAATGCTGCTGAAGGACATGAACAATTATAGACTCACATTTTGTTTTACGACCATGATGCAACGCAATCAGAGTGTGCACACTGCCCTGGTTCTCAACGGTTAATTAACGGCTAAGTTTATCCTTTGTATAATAATGTATACTGACTTGGTTTGTGGCCAAGTTTTTGTTATGTTTGTAGACTGCGTTTGTTGCAAGATTCGCCGTTATCTAAACTCTCCTCCCAAGTTCGTAATATTAATGATAACATAAAAGATGTGCATTTACCAAGACTAGCCTGAGACACCCCTCCCTTCGTTTTGATAGTCTCCCCTACCCTACCCGTGCAATCTGAAGGCACGTACGTTAGTACGCTCGGTCAGTGACATGACAACCAAACGAAAAGAGGTTGACCATGTTCCATGGGTATGAGGCTCTGCCCCACGCGCGTGGGAGCCCCGCCGTCACGGTTTTGTTAAGGTGGCTCGTACTAGTTTCCTCGCGCGGGGAACAGATCATTCTTGCGTCACGCGCGAGAGAAACGTGTGAAAGTACGCGAGATTAAAAGGCGAAAATTTAAAACAAAGATGGCGGCGCGAGGATTTTTTTTTCTACTTTTGTGAGCAGTTCACCTAAGAGTGTGTATTTGATGTGTTAAGCGGTCACTGTGAATGCAGGAGATAGATAAAAGACAAAAAGACGATTTTCGGAGAAGTAAAGGTTGCTTTACTTCACATCTAAAAGAAATAATAAACCGATATGAACTCTTGCGACGGCGAAAAAAGAAGAACTCCAGTGAAGGATAATCTACCTGAAGTGGAAGAAGACTTTGAAACTTCAAGGAAAATAATATGATGTAGCCAGAAGTCGTGTGTAGGATTTTTAAGATGAGCCCGGGAGGCTGTCTTTGACAGCTGTTTAATGATTTTCTTAGCAGTAAACGTCTGTAAACATCAGATCGTAGGCGCGCGCGCGAGCACACGCAATTGTCAGCGGTAGCTATAACAGATCATGAGCAAATGTCGATCTTATAGAATCCAGATTTTTAAATGCGCGAGAACGCGCGTGGAAATTGCTAAACTCACGAAAGCTATTGCATGAAAACAAGTCCGGTGACCCCTTCTTTTTATTGTTCCAATATGATAATAACGTCGAAAGGAATCATCAGAAAAAAAAAATAGAAAATTCTACGGAAGGAAATTTGCGATGTGTGAAAATTGCC